AATATTTAATATATATATATATTTATTTTAATAGAAGAATATGTTTTTCAATTATTCAATTAATTTATATAGTCTATAACATTTTCAAAAATAGCAATATTTTAAAGTGTTTATTACATAAAGTAAAACCATTAATTTATTTTACTTCATTAATAAAATATGAATAGCTTATCAATAATTAGAGAAGTTATTTATATTCTGTAGTATAAATAACAGACATATTTGAATATAGTGTAAACAAGTACAGCATTAACTAATAACTTAAGAATTAAAGATGTATATTTAGTCATTTTATATAATTTATTTCAAATATTATATTGCAATTTATATTTTAAAAACTTTTATTTTTTTTATAAGTGTGCACAAGTCCGCACTTATTGTAATTGATTAAACAAGTTTCCATTTTATGTTATTGAATTTATGTTTATTACAATACAAACGTTTATGTCTGACTTACTATTGTACTGAATTATATTATAATTTAATAAATTTCCCCGTCAGTTTTAGTCCTTGAAAATTGAAATTCGATGGCGGCTTTATTATTTACAAATTAAGTTCAAGTATGCCGAGGTATTCTAAAAAACTTGTTACATTTAAATCTATAAGGAAAAATCGAGTGAAAATTTCTTTATAAATTGAATAAATTTTCATAATTTATGTCTTACATTCACATCATGAAACAAATATTAAATGATATATATATATTTCAAGGTATGAATATAAGAAATAAATTATGTATATATATATTATAAACAAGAATATACGTTTAGAAATAAAGATACAAAAAAATCAAATATGGTCTTGCAGCATATATAAATATATAATTTATTCGGAAATTTAATGGTAAAATTTTATACCAGATGAAGATACCCTACAAAGTTAAGAGTTTTGCAACTCAATTAAAGTAAGTATATCATGACAGATGTGCAAAAAGACGTAATCCTTAGAGGACACATCTTAGGTCAAGGTTGTTAGGCAAATGGCAAATACTACAGGTATGTAACTCAAGAAGGCATCGGGATGACAAACCTACGTCATTCATTAAAAACCTCCGTCATCTTTTTTTTGACATACTAAAAAAAATTTCACAAAAAACTCTAAGTTCATTCACTGTAAAGAAACATTTTCTTATATTTGCCTGCATTTCAGAAATTGTTTTTAATTTTTTTTTTTCAACGTTTAAAGAATATTATAATAAATTTTATTATGTTTAAGGTTTATTTTTATAAATTATAAAGTATAAAACAATGTAGCAGAATGTAGAAAATAAAAAAAAATAATTATAATAATAACAATTTCACTATCGATTACTGAATTTCTTACTAATATCTTTTTGAAAGGAATACCGAATGCATGAAATAATAATAGGAAAATTGACGTTTGAATGGAAACTTTCCTTATAAACTTGGACGAATAAAAAAATATGAATGTAATTTAAATAATTTAAAAGTAAGATTATAGTTATGCATTTATAATTAACTATTGTTTATCTCTTAAATAGTATCTATCATTGTAAATTAAATTTAATTATAGGTTAGTTTCAACAAACTCATAATACAAATGAATTAACACAGCCCATAAAATGTATAAAAATTTAACTAATTTACACCAGTAGCATATACAGATCTGACGTAAAGGGGGAGCCTAAATTGAAATTTAATACAAACCATTACACATTTTACGCTTTTAATACTAGAATTACTAAGTCATTAATTAACTCCACAATTAAATTAAATTATATTATATTTAGCATTTTTATTACGAAGAGGGACCCGATTCCCGGACCCTCCCTAGTTACGTTATTGATTTGACTATATGTTATACAGGAAATTTAATACTTGCTCTAAAAATAAATATTTATATATGCTAATGTTGTTTTAAAATATATGAAAATAAATAAAAAGATTTTGAAAATATGCTATTTATATACTAAATTGATGTAACTGAAAGAGCTAATAGGGAACTTTTAAAAAATCATTAAAAGACTATACAGCCAGGATAAATAGGAAAATATGACTTATAATGACGGAAACTTATTTGTATAAGTATTATTAGACAAGGGAGAAATGCAGGAAATTGTAAAAAAAAAAAAAAACTTCTGTTGAAGTAAATGTGTTTATATTCAACATGAACGCATCAATTTGAACTTATATAGCAATTCGGAAATGTTGACACATTAATTCATTAATTAAAATTAATTTTTATGAGTGTTAGTTTATAATAATTGTAATTAATGCTCTACGTTTTAGCTACCTAATTCAATGGGTTTTTTTTTCAAACGTTTTAAAGAGATGCCGAGTTTTGCTTGGTGCTTGCGCGCTATGAACTTTTCATAAAAAGTGAGTTTTATTCTAATAAAACTAAGTTTTTCTTGCAATTTTTTGATAATATACAATTATTTTTCGAACCAAACAAAACTAAAACAGCACACAGAGATATTTACAGCTAAATGAAGTCATATTTCAGTGATGTAACGATTACAACGTAGTCATGACCATAATGATAATGAAATCAACACGCATGTTGGAGAGTTTATAATGCTATGTTGCATTGAAATGATGGATAGAATAATCTAGTATGTGCGAGAATTGCACTCGAAAATAAATAAAAATTATAATGATTTCTTTGCCCCCTAATAGGAACCTTGTGGCCCACTAAGTAAATGCGCTCCATAGTTTTAGAACCACTGATCTAATTGATAAAATGAGTTAATCCGCTCCTTATAAGTAAAATCCTTTAAATATTAAAATAAATATTTGTCATAAATTAATAGGCTTTTATCTGATCGATAATTAAAACTAATTGGAGCATACTACAGTATTAAGTCGAACTAGTTGTAACGTTATTCTACCTGTGAATGATTATGATATAGGTTATGTGAAATTCTCATTGTTTGGTTTAGTGTCGCCAATTTTTCAAATTTAACATAGATTGGATCATTCTATTATTTTTCCTGTGTTAGCTGTCACATAATGAGAGTTTTTTTATAATGTACATCACATCAATCATACCTAATTTCGAGTAGAAGATACTTACTAGAAACGTAGAGTTCCTGATGCGTGATATTTCCGAAAAGTAATTTTATACTTCAAATATAAAATTAAAGAAGATTACCCGAATATTATAACATATAATTCGAAAGGAGGGTAAGAATTGTATGTGTAGTCTATATTTAAACAAGTAAAAGTGAAGTTCATTACTAGAACAAAAGTGTTTTCTCTGTTCTTCAGAGACCTTGTTAGCTAAGTAGCGAGTTTTTATACGTTTTTTCATATTTAAGTATCATATTTGTACATTTTAAGTGTAATATATATTATTTTAACGTTTTTTTAAGTATTGTAGATATAATTTAGTTACATACCTGCCACTTTTATTTTTATCGGAAGCAAATACTTTTTGTATAAGTTGTGATAATTCGCATATACAAAAAGTATTAGAACATTAGTTCCACTTCACTAATTGGATCATTCTATTATTGAAACCAAAATATTTGCTCGTATTTTTTTAATAAATTTTTTCAAATACTAAAATATTTGTTGGTATAAGTCAGTAATTCGAATTACTATGTTCTTCAATTCATCAGCCACAATGGTTGCTTAATCAAATAAAAACATGTCTAGTAAAAATAAGTACGTCAAAGGCCTACTTACAAGTTATTAAAGGCAAAGAAAATTAGTCCTACTTAAAAATTTACTCTTTATATATTTATATTATAAACAAACGTGTACACTTTATTCACATAAACACTTTTGCCATAGCTTAATGATATAATGTAAGAACTTTAAACTTACTTCACACCTTTTAGAATATGGAAAAATATATTAATATTTAGAAAAATTTTTATATATGTATGTAGTTTTTTTTAATTTTATATTTTAATAAATATTTTGCTTTAAACTTTTTTTTATTAGAAAATAATCAGTCAAGGTCTACGATTTAAACAAAGAAAAATATTAAAATAATTCCGGAAATCGTTAATTTTTAATAAATAAAAAATTAATTGAAAACTCGGTTGGAAGTAATTGTTAGAAGTATGAAAAGATGTTAAATAAGGTTTTAAAAACATTTACATTATTAATTTTTTTAAATAATGAACTGGGGGAAATGAAATTTTTGAACGACGCCATTTTCAATTTTAAAATATTTTACTACCGTTTAACTAATAATAATCTATAAAATTTAATAATATGGCTTAATTTTATTATGTTATAAAAATTTGAATTAATTAAAGTGTACTTTAAAGGTTTGATTAAGCCAGAAACTCTTTTTTTTTTCTTGTAAAACTTTCCACCAATCGAGTCTAACCCAGCTATTTCAACTTTAAACTGATTTTATAGTAGTTATTAGCAATCTAGGTAACTATTACGCGTTCTATTAACACGGTATAAGCTTGCAGTCTGCACTTAAATGATTTAAAATTTACATCGTATCGAGTAGAAAAAGGGTCATATATATAGAGAAAGCAGAAGACTTAACATACGAAAAATTCTCTTTCATACTAATAACCGGATTGGTTAAAACACCAATGAGAGATTGTTAAATAACTAATAACATGCTATGACGTATATCCGTCCTTGAAAATATCCAGTAAAAAAGGTTGACGAGAAAGCACAGAGTCTCTTATTTAATTGAGAAATCCTTTGAGAGGATTTCAGTTTTCCATGGCATCAACATGAAAATATTTTCCCTTTATTTCTGTCTGTTTTTCGGAGGATACTTCGCCGTACCGAGCTACAGCCAGAATTATTCGGCAGAGGAAACGGTGAAGCAATGGGAAAAATTGGAAAAAATTGCAAGGAAATATGTTGATTTAGCGTTAAAACAAGCTCTTCCCGCTTTAGTTAAAGCTAATTCCGAAGCTAAAATATCTCCAAAATGCTCCAACAGTGTTATGAAATTGATCATCGGTCTAAGAAGAATGAAAACATGGGCATTCGAAAGTAAGTTTTAATTATTATTATTATTTTTTTGTTATTTTAAATATTTAAAACCATTTAATATTTACATTACGCGTAAAAAAATTAGTACAAACCCTGACAGTTTACTTAAATTTGTTATAAAGTTATATATCTAGTTGTGTTTTTTATTTCAAATGTTACCCACTTTACAAGGTAGAAACTGATTTTGTAATCACTTCAATCATAGAATGAAAACATGAATACAATTGCTATTTTCCTTTTAAACAAAATTTCTTTCCAAGCAAGTTTATCAAATGTGATAAAATTCTGTGATCAAGATATTTAAGTACTGTATTGTCAGAATACGTGCCCTTAATATGTATTCTAATTATTTTTTTTTGTTCCATATACCTTATTTGGAATTTGTATTTAATTAAATGGAATGGAAATGTAAAATAGGAAGCTTATAATTAGATAATTTGGACAAAATTAATATAAAATCTATAAAAATCAGTTTATTATTCATAAAATAAAATAAATTGCATTATATTTATCCATCAAACTTTAACAGAAATACATTGGAAAGATAATTTTGTATTTAAATTTTTACACACATTTATAGGATGAAGACGTTAAATATATTATTGGAAATTTCTTAAAAATTAATTAATTAAGAATTATTCTATATGAAATAGTTAAAAGTGTATGTACAATTTTAATATACAGAAAAAAAATAAGTAAATAAAATCAATCATAAAATTAATAACTGTTGACTCTAAATCGTAATATTTTATCAATGAAAGTTATGAAAAAACGTGTGAAAAAGCGAATAAATATGGACAATCTCGGAAGGGCCACTTTCATCGAGTATTGTTCTTTATTAGTTCATTGAAAAAATACCCACGTATGTGGGTTACGGAGTATGCTCTGCGGGTAAGGGTTAATAGCCCATACTACATTCAACAATAGAAAACAGGACAGACTTATCAAGTTATAAACATACAAACGCTCTAGTAGAAATGAATTTTCGATCATCATGACACGATTCTCGCCGTGTAATTTACTTAAACCGATTACACAAGCATTGTTACCGTGCTATTAATAACCAATCTAAAAAGCGAAACTGGTCGAGTATTGTTAGTAAATCGCAAAGGTAAATACTTGATTCAAGTCGCGGTTTCTGATTTTTCGCCTACTTAAAGTGTTGCAGATTTGTTTACAAGTCTACAATTCCACGGAATACGTTCTAGTGTTATATATAATTGTGTATATATAATTGTGTATATATATATAATAGTGTTATATATAATTCGTGTAACATGCCCTATATGTAAATATCTATATTAGTAAGAGACTGCTTATCAATTGCAGTAATCTATTCAGAATTTTTGGATTTAAATAATTGATTTAGATCAGTACTGTATAGGAACTAATTAATGATTTAGGAACTGATAACTTTTTGATAGTTGTATCTTGTTATGGAAAACTTACATATACTGTAATGTAATCAAATTTGGGACACTAGCCTAGGAATTAAATATAAAATAATTTTTCTGTCTAGACATTTAAATAATAATACTATAGTTAATAGAAGGATAAAACAATTACGTATTTATTTTTTCCTTTATAATATAAATTCAGAAGAAATTTTTCACTAAATACGTATAATTTAAATAGTATTAAAGTTTTTCTAATAAATTTTATTGCCAAACAGTGTTTACATATGATGCAAGCGCATTTTTAACTTTAAAAAATGCGTTGGAAGAGTTTGTATCAAAGTTATAACTTCTTGTAATTAAAATTTAACCAAATATTACAATTTATAAATAAAACAAAAGACAAAAATTGCCTAAATTTTCCACAAAATATCGTTTTTAATTAATTAAAAACATAATCAATGTTTTTAATTAATTAAATTACAAGCACGGTTTCAAAAGTACCATAATCAATGTTGTCTACAATAGAAACTTTGTAAAATAATTCATATTTTTAAATCTATTCTTTCTGAAAATCATAGATGTATCTATATATTAAATTCAATATATAATCAGGTTAACTTTTAGCTAGGATAAATTGTATTATTATATAACTTTGACGGAAATTATCTGATATTAAAAGTGGATTTCTTGTGTAGGCAACATAGATTTGTAATAATACAATAGAATTACCATAAATCTGACATGAAATTATATAAATAACAAAAATTACAGGAAAGAGAAACAATGTGCTATCAATTAAATTTTTGAATATTGAATGGTACTTCACAGTGATGTTGTAAGTATTTATTATTTCAGAGAAAAAAAAAGAGGAAAATTTTCAGTGCCTCTTCGATAAATTTGATCTTTATACTTCTAAATTAAGATAAAATTATTTATCTTAATTTATTATTCTTGCGTTACAATAATAATAAATTAATTATGCAAATTTAAAAAATTTTTTTACTTAGCAGATGTAAATAAGGTCAAGCGAATTACATAATCTGTGCCTTATTTATCTAAGAAGTGAGACGTATTACGTGTTGATGTAGCCTAATAATCGTAATTTATACCTTGACGAATATAATCAACTTAAATCTTCAAATATTAAAAAGGTCCATAGTAAGGTTTAAGTAATTAAAACGTTATTTGCTTGTAATAAACTTTCGTTGGCGTCAATATTTTAAGTGCGACATAGAAGGTTGAATCACTAATCATTGTTCTATTGTTCGTGCAAAAAATAAAAGATATTTTTCATGTAATTGCTTGACAACGTGTTATAAGGGAGATTTTTTTAATAGATTTGTGTAAATACTTCCAAGTTTGATTATAAACGGTATATTTTCTCAACTTTATATTGTAGTCAGAGCAAGCATAAAAAGTAATGGTTTATAAATAAAGTTTTACTTCAATTGTATCATTTTACATAATTAATTCTTATATTTTGATCTGAAAAATTATTTTTAAAAATTGTAGAAAAATAAACATGCTATCTATAATAAAAATTATTTTTAATTAAATGTAAAATATTTAATTATTTAAATTATATTTGTAAGCATTGTAAGAGGTTATAAAAGAAAATCATTTGAAAGGGGAAAGGGCACGTCACTGTTTGACAAAGCCATTTAGCGTGATGATGTGAGCGTGTTATCTTTCTTGATTAATATGAAAACAAATGAAATACATAATTAAAAAATTTTTTATTATATTAAAATATTTCCATTGCTTACGCTCTGTCTATAATTCATTTCAAAAGTTGTTCAAATTTGTCCTTGACATACACTAGAATATATTCCTTCTTTTCCTTCTAGAAACTGTTTATAAAAAGAAAGATATTATAAATCAAAGCTATTGAAGTAGGAAAAGATGGCGTTAATGTCTTCTACATTTTCATAAGCACCAACTTTTCTTGAACTTTTACACTTTTGGGTCTTTCACTACTTGATATTTTGGTTTTTTCGGAATTTACTTTTATTTTAGATATTATAAGTCTATGGGTTCTAAGTAAAAGACTCGTTGTTTTAAAATATGTTTTAAAATATGACGATTAATCACTTTATTCTAAATTAAATAACTTCATTTTAGTCTATCTTCAGAAATTTTTAAAGAAAACTTCAATAAATATTTATTACAATTATTATAAATTCTTCTAGTGTTGGATGCTGCTGGTAAACCTGGAGGTGGCATAATGGAAGGTACATTAATAGCATTCGGTTCTTACGATCAATGTTTAAGCATAGAAGCAAAAGACAAACCTAATGGCAAAGAATATTTTCGAGGAAAATATTGTACGGTCAGCATACAACCACCTGTACCACCGAAACCCGAATTTTACACCATGCATCACAAATTTGCATCATTTGCCAACTTTACTTCTTCAAAAACGGTTAGTTTACTTTAAAAGCATGTTTATATATATACATAATAATCTTAAAATGGTACTTATAATAAGTTGTTTATAGTTTATCCGCACTTTTTCGAAAGATCTCCACTTCTTTTTATTTCTTACGTACCGTCTTGGGATATGCGTTCCATCTACTTGCAATGGTGATGATTTGCAAAGCGTTTTAAATATGAGTAAGTTAAAACAAAAAAGAAATGAATAGATAAGTAATTTCTTTTATTCTTTTTAAATAAACAAACGTAATTTATAGTTCATTTTCCCTGTATTCTTCAGTTTTAAAAGACTTGGAAGGTGTTTCAGCCAATATTATCGGGTGCGAAATCAAGGAACCAATTGTGTTAAATAAGTTGCAAATAATTATAATGTAAGTAAAAAAATGTGTGATTATCTGTTCATAATAAGGAAAACGTCCATTGGCATGTTATTAAATATATATTTTTTACAGAGCATTGGTGTGTGCATTAGTTGGATTGGTAATATTATCTACAATAATCCATCTTGTTTACAGAAGTACTAAACCAGATCATCTCATTGCACTCCCTTCTAATCAAGGTAAATATCCTTCCTTTATTTATTTGTTTACACTTATTTCTTTCGTATTAATTGATAAATTTTATTTACAGGACATTTATTATCGATATTTCTGGCATTTTCGCTTCATAGAAGCATGAAAAGATTAACAAGAATAGAAACAACTTTGCGGCAATCCAAGGCCATCCACGGATTGAGGGCTTTAAGTTTCTTTTGGATTATATTTGGAAATATTTTCCTGTATTCAAATTATCAAGTTATTCGTAAGTATTAAAAATTGTATAGTAAATTTTAGTTTTAATTAACTTTTCTCTGAATCAGTTTAATTTCTTTTTATAAAGGTCAGTTGAAGATGGCCGTCGTTTACTCTTGCACAATTCTCTTTCAAGTTTTAGTTAGTTCTCCTCTTGGATTTGACACTTTCTTCTTCATAAGGTAAAATATTAAATACAATTACATTTTTTAACATTTTTTTAAATATAAAATATCTTTCAGTGGTTATATATTAGCCTACGGCGTTGCTCAGTCCTCGGGAAATATAAAATTATTGTACGTACGACACTTATTTCACTATCTAATTAGGTAAGTATTATTCACCAAAATTTAAATTTATCATTATTATTATTATTCCTCGAGAGTATTAATATTAAATAATGTCAACTTGTTTTCTTTCAAGAATAATACCAGGCTATCTATTGGTTATTGCATTCGTTTTTATAGTGCCTATTACCAATAGTGGTCCAAGTTGGCACGAAAATCTTGACCCTATGGTTGAAGGCTGTCGTAATAATTGGTGGACTAACTTACTTTTTATCAATAACTTTAATATAACTGGAACAGAAAAGGTAAACTTAATGCTAATACCATACTTTTTAATTTAAACTATTGCTGAATATATAGTTAATGGTAAAATAATAGTGTATTGAATAAAATAAAAATCAAGATTTGAACATTTTTTAAATTAAAAAAATTAAGATAAAATTTATTTCTTAACAGAAAGTAATAAAAAATATTACATAGCTTATTTCATCACTTGTAAAATAATTATATTGTATACTTTAAGAAATTTCTTTCATTGATATATATCAATTGAATGTTTATGGGTTATTGTGTAATGTGTATCTGAGTTAAACATAAATTACTTTTATAAATGAATACGTAATGATCGATTTAATAGTTCTTCAATAGTAGGTTACAATTGAGGAAAGTGAAGAAATATGAATGATTTTACATTCAAACTATTTCATCATTATATTTTTAAATATTTCACTTGTAAATATTGAAATAATTATACATTTAATTATTTTGTATTTAGTGCTTGCATCAGTCTTGGTACATTGCCTGCGATTTCCAATTATTTATAATTGGCCTTATAGTAACTTCATTAATGGCGTAAGTTTTTAAATATTATTCTTTATATAAAATTCATTCTATTTTTTAGTAACGTAAAATTATCGTAAACACATAGTAGTTAAGTGTATAAGGAAAATATATAAGCCTACAATAAGAAATAATACTGTATTACATTTTAATTCTGTTTAGATAAGGTTTCATTTTATATCCTTTGCTATTGATGATCGTGTTCTTAAACATTATGGGAAAAATATTTTTAATTTTTTTGTGGAATTAAAAACGATTTCTTACATTGTAACTCGTTTCGGCGTGATACCCTACATATTTCAATAATTCTTATTAAAAATTATGAAAAATAAAAAAAACATTCTTCTAGATTGTGAAGCAGTGAGGACCTTTTTATAAAGGAATTTTGATGTAATAAATAGTAAAGTGATACAACTATTCTTAAAAAGTATTATGCTAGTCCAGGGGTCGACAACCTGTAACACGCGGCACTATTTTCAGTGGCACTCTGAATAGAAATGTGGTAAATATTATATTTTAATTATTAATTACACATTTAAAAATGAAGCCATAGTTCAGTGTAGGCCGTCATACATTTAAAAACGAATCTCTTGTTTGTATATTTATATTACAACTTATGCGTTTACGTTTTGTGTCGCCATCTTCGCATGTGTTTCACATGTAACATAAAAAATATGTAATTTTGAAGTTAAGTTGTTAATTATGTCCCTTATAACCGGATCAATGTTAATAATATATATAAATATAACAAAATTCGTAGAATCGTGTTGGCATCCGGAATAACACTATAACTTAGGTTCAGCATAACACCGCTGAAAAGTTGCCTACCCTTGTGCTAGTGTATAATAAGTTAATAAATTAATAATATATATTCTTGGAGGAAAATTATTACCATATTCAAAAATAATTTACATGGATTTATAAAATTGAACAAATCTTTAAATAATTAATTGTTTTCGCTGATGATGTGAAAGAATTTAAAAAGTAATATTTTAAATACAGTAATTTTAAAATAAGTTATTTGTACTTTTCAAATTTACGAAATGTTGTTTACAATTATTATTTTTTATTACTATTTATGTTTCATAATTAAAAGATAATACTGTACACTGTAATATTTATTTTTTTTACGTAACGAAGTTTCATATCTTGTAAATCCTAAATGTAGAGAATCGGCATTCTACAAGTAATAAGGTACTTATTGATATTTTCCTTATATAACGCATTATGAAAACAGTTTTTCAATCATATCCAATCTCTATTAACTCTTCTCCCTATGGGCATTAAGAGGGTCTTTATAGCAAGCCCATTGTGGGTTAGGCCAACTGGTAAAGAATATCATTATATTTAGATTTAAATTTTATCCATATTCTTGTTTAAATAGATGGTCACGAGTGGGCTTAATCATTAATTTATTGCTGATTATACTGTCCGTCTCAATTACTGGAATTATGATTTCATACTTGAAACTTCCTCCAACAATCCTGTTTTCGCAAGTGGATGTCGTGTAAGTAGTAAAATTTGTTTAAAAAGAAAAGTCTTTCAAAGAATTGTCAACTAAATCTTAAATAATTTTTTTACTAAATCTGCCAAATGCTATGAAATTTACATAAAATGGAATTTTTTATCTATTTTTAAAGGCAACGGCAAGGAGTAGAGAATCTTTTGTTTAACAGACCGTATCCACACTTGGGCTCTTTTTGTTTAGGATTAGCCTTAGGACATATTTTAGCTCATAGATCAGCCTTCAAGTTGAAAAATGTAAGAAATGTTTATCGCATATGTTTCCTAATTAATTTTTAAAAATGTAATATTTGTGTTACATTTTCAGTTTACGAAATTATTGGGTTGGTGCTTAGCTATAATATGTATGTTATCAGTCACATTTGGAGTTTACGAATGGAATTTCCACGAACAAATAGCGACAACCGCAACAACTCTATATGGAGCTGCTCATCGATTGGCTTGGACTCTGGGAATTGCTTGGGTGATGTTTCTCTGTGCAACTCGCAACGCAGGTAAACAAATATTTTATTTTCTGTTGAAATTCAATACGAATAATATAAATTTAAAATATAATCTTAACTGCTAGGTGTTGTAAATACTGTGCTGTCTTGGACACCATTGCGTGCGATAAGTCGATTATCATTAATGGCGTACCTCTTTCATCCCATTATCTTGACTACATTAACAAGTCATTTAAGAGAACGAATACAAATCACTCCTTACGTCATAGTAAGTACATTACTTTATAAATATGTATTTAATCCAAATAATACACTAATTGTTTCTTTATAGATATTTGTTATGTGCGGCTTGTCCTGCCTTTCATTAACTTTATCGTTTTTCTCTTACGTCCTGCTAACGGCGCCCATTATGGAGATAGAAGAAATGTATTTCGGGAAAAAAGTGGTAGAGAAAAAGAGGATTTACGAGAAATCGGATCGGATTTCAAAAAAATTGAAAGAGCTAGAAGCAAAGAGTTATTCAGACAGCGAAAAACATGGAACGGATATTTTCAGGAAAATCGACATACATGAGTTGGAAAAGAATAAAGTAAACGGGGTTGTAATTTTACATTTGTAATTTTTACATTATCATGAAAGAATTATAAGTCGTTTTCACTTATAATTATTACTTTAAATCTTGATTATAGTCAAGAAATATCTTCAACATTAATATGTTAATTTCATTAAAATTGATATTTTTTTTCTCAAAGAAAATCAGGAGTTACGAAAAATTAATCATAAAGAATCGAACTAATTGCGAAATTGCTATGTGACATTTGGGTTAATGCAAGTTCGAAGTTACCAAACCGGGAGAAACCAAACTTGTTCTTAAATACTCAAACCAGCTTCCTTCATTATTCTTCATACAGTCAATTTTTTTCCGTTTTCTTTTTGTCAAATTTTTAAAATTCGCAGAAATTTAGTACAAATGACATAATTTGACGTTTCTGTTTATACTCTTTCCGCCTGTGAGTGCTATGAGGACCTATTTAATAAAACCTATCGTGAGTTAGGCCAGGTGGTGAGGTTCGAGATCCAACATACCAGACTGATCACCCCCGAAAATTTCCTGGAATTTTTTTCGACCGATCCGGATTCGATTTCGGGTCCCCAGAACGGTAGGCTGACAACTTAATTTGTCTGGTTATTTGGCCCTATAATTTGATGTTACAAACATAGAAATTTATTTTGATGTATATAGCATATTTTCATTATTATTCTGATGTATAATTCATTTCGCCATAATAATAAATATAAATTGTTAGTTGTTATTATCCGTAAATCTACTATAGTCATTAGTTTATATTATGATATATTATCTATTAACAAATTAACAATAATAATAGATAAAAACTTATAGTTAATTAGCCTACTCTTAATATGCTCATTTACTTCAATTAGTATATTCGAGATAATTCATATTAAAGAATTATTTGATGGATCAAAATGGTATATCAATTAGAACATTCTCACGTAAAATAATTTTATATATTCAAATATTTTTTTAAAAATTTAATGCTAATTAAAATTTTCGTTAATAGATTAATTTTTTTAAATCATAAATAAATTTGCAGAAAGTTTAGTAATTAAGTTTAATATAATCGCTGTCTGTTCTACAGCAATATTAACCCGTAAATTGGCCACGTGTCAAATAACATTATAAATTTGGGATGCACAACGTATGGATTGTTCGTTGTTTTACTGTGGCCCACCGCCTAATTTCAGTAAAAATGTTTTGTGTTGATAGACCGACTTAAATGTTTATAAATGCATTAGCATTGATTTTAAATCCATATAATGTAATTAAATTTAACGTAACATTTTATTTCTGGATTCGCACACGTTTTCATTTTTGTCATTTTTGACTCTCCTGCTTATGGGCACAAAGATGGCTTTTTCTCCATGCCCATCGCGGATTTGGCCAGGCCCACAATGGAGTCAGTCGGGTGTTGAGGGACGTGATGTAACATCCGGAATAGACCGCCATGAAAAAATCCTGGGAGAGACACCACTTTAATTAGATCCCAGAGTGGCAGAAAGATCCTTTTCTGCCTCTGCTATCCGGCAGCGCGCACAAATATTTGTTTAAGTTTCATTCGAGTACATTATATATATAATACTGCAGCCCGTTTAAAAACAATTTTACCTAATGCGGCCGAGATAATACTTTGGTTGTGCATTCCAGTAGCAAAATAGATAGCCATGTTCAACTTTTGTCGATTACAAGAAATCAAATATGCATTGGGCTGGAAATTTTGGATTTGAGAATGGAGGAACAGTATCTCGTTCCTTAATGAATTATTAAAGTTTCTGTATGGGTTTCGAACCGGGATCCTCTACAAAAGTTGGCTGTTCCGTTATTATAATTAATGTGAAAAAAGTGTAGGAAAAATCACGAAAGTCCCGATCCAAATTATCTAAAGTTACGAAGATTCAAGTCGGAATCGAACAAGATCAATAACGAAATTATACTTCTTACCTGTCTTTTTAAAAAAGATAAGTGTAATGAAAAATGTTGAAATTAGTATCTTATATTTTCTATATTTTAATGAATGTCAGAAGCTATAAAAAAATTCTTTTAAAATATCCAATTGAATTTTTGTGAATAATATTTTTATTTATCTTCAATAATGTTAAAATGTTTATAATTTCAAAAGTATTGCTATTATTGAATGTTTTCGGATATTTTATAAACGAAATGAATTTTTTTAATGTATTTTTAAATATAAAATTACCACCTATGACTAGATTACAGATAATAAACCGTTAAATTTAATTCCATTATCGTTATTTGTTATAAAATATTTTATTCAAAAATATTAAAAATAGTTTTAAGATTCATTCATTTAACAGATAAACTAAAACTAAAAATAAAATTAAAAATTGCAGATTTTATGCCATTCGGTTTTCGGTACACCCAGATCTATTCGATTTAAAAATCGATTAATCAATTAACGCGAGAAATCAGCATATTTTAGTCCAATTATGCTGAAGCCAAACCTTGATTGGACTGATGGTATAACGCAATGCAACATATTGGAAGTGCCTCCCGAGTATTGATGGTAGATGAATTGATGGTTTCGTGCAATCATGATCGATGAATCAATGGTTACGTATGGCCACAGTCTAGCACTTTTTTTTACGTTTTCTGCCCTATAGCGCTAAAAGGATCTTTTAATCAGTGTATCGTGGGTTCAGTCATGTCTATAATAAGAACAGCCGGATTTTCTAACAAAAACTTAGTTGAAAGATGTAATCTACAGTAAGTACGATTGGTTAAACAAATAAATGTTCAATAAAAATTAGTTTAATTAGAATTGTTCACTTATTTTTCAGAGTAGCTACTGTCTACCTAATGACAGGTAAAAGTATCCATTAAATTTTACCTCAATGCTACCAAATTTGCAATGTCTCAATTTCTGATTTTAAATTTATGGCAACTACTCCCGAGAGGTGTTTTATTGGTTAAAGTATAAGATTCTGAATCAAGTTTGAACCTACAACTTTTACAGTATAGCTAAACTAAGATTCACAATATGTGGCCATCTTTTATAATTGTATTCATTAATATTTGAAATATGAGACTATAATAACCGTTTCTAGAACTACTGTTACAATACATCAGATAAAAAGAAATATGTTAAATCGTTTGTAACGCGTATTTTTTCATTAATAAATGGGCGCTCATACAAAGAATTATCTCGACTATAAAAGTGTTAATAACGTGGTGGAGATTTTAATATTGGGTCGCACACGCGAATTGTCTTCGTCTTATGATATCAAATAATCTATATATAAGAATTTCTTGTTTCAAAAATTGCTGATAAATGAAATGTCAAAACACTATAGTAAACAGTAGCAGTGTGATAAGTCTGTTGAGGACATCAAAATGACACTTCTAACATCAGAATGTAACTCGTGCCTGCCTTCAGCAAATTTACTACGAAATATTGGAGTCACTGTCTGATGACGATAAATCCTTAAAGTGCATTGCCCTTTGGTGTGGTTCTATAACAGAAAAAAGTCGCATTCTGATGATAGAAGTGTCATTTTGGTAACCTCAGTAGCAGTGTGAAAAGTCTCTTACCTCTACTAAACAGTGCGAGATTCATTCAAATCAAATAAACACTTGTCAATTTCATCTTACATCAAGTTACATCAAACGAATAACATAATTAGCATTTCTATACATGGCGTCATGCTTAGAGGTTTAATAAAAGAAAAGCGTATAAATTTAAAATTTATCATAATTTAATGAAAAAGCTGTTTTCTAGTGTAAAGACTGGCAGATTTTTTACACTCAAACACATTTCATCACATCACCAACGGTAGCGTAGCAGATGTCCAACTTGTGTTCCACTTCAATCACGCATTCAATAGCTTGTAAGGTGTAACACATTGTCGATAGCCTCAACCGTTCAACAACCCGAAACTAAACCTAACGAGACAACATTACATAGACAACGAAACAATAGGGTCGGTTGGTTGCCAGGCCCGGACTTCAAAAATGGACAAAACAACACGAACGGATTAGTTCGAAACAGGATTAATATAACAAAAGTCCCGAATTAATTGACTATGCTTCAAAAGAAAAGAAAATTATTACTAGCGAACGAACTATTTACAAGAGATTAGGAAAAAAAACCATGAAAACGCGTAATGATAATAAACTACACACACAAAAAATTAAAATTTAGAAGTATCGAAAAATTGAATCAAACACGAAACCAAAACAAACGTTAACAAAACTTCTTGACAACTATGGAACTTAACTGTAACTTAAAATTTAACTCTCCACAAAAATTCGTCATGAGCATTGCTACATGCTATGGGGAAGACATAGACGCTGACTTTATTTAGATTGTGGAAAGGAATCTCTATGTCACCGTTATTGAATAACTTCGGATAGAGTTTTTCGCAGCTGTTGTTTACCATCTCAGGATTATTTATAATGGGCTCCGCAAACCCATACTCTTCATATAATTCATCCTTGTCAATATCAGGTATGTTATATGCCTTCACCCCATCGCAGAACTCTTCAAAAGGTATGACACTTGTTAGGTTAAATTTTGACACTTTATTGTGAAGGTATTTTTCGGAGAAATCATATCTGTCACTTAAATATTTTATTATTCTTTCATAGAAAACCTTAAAGTTTCCTTCGACTAGATTACAGATAATAAACCGTTAAATTTAATTCCATTATCGTTATTTGTTATAAAATATTTTATTCAAAAATATTAAAAATGGTTTCATAAGATATTAAAAATAGTTTTAAGATTCATTCATTTAACAGATAAACTAAAACTAAAAATAAAATTAAAAATTGCAGATTTTATGCCATTCGGTTTTCGGTANAGGTATGTTATATGCCTTCACCCCATCGCAGAACTCTTCAAAAGGTATGACACTTGTTAGGTTAAATTTTGACACTTTATTGTGAAGGTATTTTTCGGAGAAATCATATCTGTCACTTAAATATTTTATTATTCTTTCATAGAAAACCTTAAAGTTTGCTTCACATTTTCTACAAGCATTGGGAGTTATTTAGTTAAGTTTGGTTTTTACTGCAAATCCAAAAAAATTATCACTCAGTCTTCTTTGAAGTTTAATTCTCAATTCTGACATTAACTTAAATGCAGAAATTATGCTAAAAGACTTGGCTTCTAAGGCAGTAATTGTGTCTGAGAACAATTTCAAAGTGTGGCTGAGGGGAAAAAAGTCTCTGACAAGTCGCAAACATTTGCGTCAACTCCAAATCAGTACCACAATACCTTTAGGCATTCCTTCTCACCCAGACTTTGAAAATAACTTTTTAGGGCTTGCCAGTACTTAAGAATTATATCAATGGATGGCAAAAGAGACAACCACCTAGTAACAACATGCCTTAATGTATTGCAATGATCTGCACAGTCCACGAATTCGCAGAATTCAATTAGTTCTTGTGTTCTGTTAGAGAAGATGCTGAAATGGCTGTACACTTTTAGCACAATATTTTCAACATCAATTGCAAGTTTTCCTGTAGCGACCCTTGTTGCGTTGTGCAGAATATGAGCCAGACAATTTGCAGCAACTACATTCTTTTGAATGGACTTCAATTTTTGGTACACATTGTTTTTCCGCGTAATTTACGCTGGCATTATCGGCAGTGTATGCTGAAACTTTATATCTAAACTTGAAATCTGAAGTTTGGTCATCAGTTGATGTGTGATATTGTCTGACGATACGTTGTCATCACTGTAAAAGTCAAGCACAACATGCTGAACACCTTCTTTAAAGTGAAAGTACCTCAGAATTATTGGGAAACACTTGTAGCACCTTTGTTGGGAAGTATCAGTTGCCACTGAAAACGGCAGGCTATGCTCCATGATATAGTCTACATGCTTTTCTACCGAATAGGGTGACAGAATATTTTCGCACAAAGCTTTTGCTTTAGTTTTTCCACATGTCACAACTTTCAGTAACACCGAGACATCGTATATTTCTTTATCAACTTTTACTCCTCAATCGATACTTCTATACAACTGGTAGTATTTCACAGCATTTCTCCAGCACTTCGCAAAGTTCTGCAGCCAGAATTTTATCGTCCCGAGCAGATCGAACTGTAGAAACAAATGATGATAATGATGACGTACGGTACCTGAAATTCGAATATTGATTTTATATTATTCAGTAGTAGCATGTCTTTCAATCGCACTTTTGCCTTTACTTCCTATTTCCACATCACAGCGTCATACTGTGCAAAAGGCATGAAAGTCATCTTTTCTGCTTTTGGAAACGAACCCAACTTCTTTTATCCATTCATCATGGAATTTCGTCTTCTTTTTCGACATTCCCAGTACGAGATAAATGGCTTTCGCAGTCTCTCTTCGAACCTCCAGCAGTTTCAAATGTGAAAGTCTTTACACAAACAGCAGTTCTGGGGAATAACTTAGCGAGAGAACGAGTACGATAGACGACAAATTTGGCGATGCCTATGAGACCCTTAAGCGAGCTGAAAATACGCGGGCGACGACATTCGAGAGAAGAAACTTTCATGAAAACGTCTCTTCTTCTAGGGGTCAGAAACACTCTGCTTCCAAATTTTAATAACTCAACCTCCTCCACCTCGCCAGCAGCACATGCAACTTCCGTTCAGTTAAAAGGAGAATTCTGCCGAAGTCCGAAAAAGATTGATTAGACATTTCATCCCTGCCGTTTGTAAATAACCATTTGTAAATACTTTTGAAATTCTTTGGCCTCTTAACGAAGAAAATGGCCAAAGTGTCACTAGGTCAAAGTGATGTGTGCCATCTGGAAACGTTAACAAGCTTCTTCAATTTATTCGAAGCGACAATTGAAATATTTGTGTACATATTTTTCATCACATCCCAAAAAAGGAGGACAAATCGATGTAATGCCGGCAAGGTGATGCCGGATAGAGGACGGAGTAGTCAAATGCCTGACAATCCGGCAAAAAGCCGGACGTCAGGCCATCCTACTTTCCAGATAAAAGACAATGAATCGCAAACACAAAGGACACAATATAATTGCAAGTGTAAAGTGTAAGAGTAATATTAGCTGAACTATACTTAGTTTGGTATAGAAATAATAATTATTATTGTTAACTTTGTTATTATTATAAAAAAAATTATGGTAAATGTGTCGTTAGGTAAACCATATAGCTGCACTTCCGGTCGCCATCTTGTTTGTGGACGTCGCTTCCACAAACAAGATGGCGACCGGCGCAACTATTAACTACGCCGGCATTCAAATAAAACAAATTTCACTCACCGTTGACATATTTCTAATTTCTTTTCTTCATTTTCTTCTGTAAAGAACAAGGTTCTGCTGATTCTTTCGTAAATTCATCTTTCTTCGTGGGTATTTTTTCCAGCAACGGGTAAGATTCAAGCTCTGATTGGAGTTTCACACCACCCGAGAATTGTTGACCCTTCGCCTGATATTCGTCTCCACCCGTCAGTTTTTAACACGTGTCGGTCTACCACGTATTCTATGTACTTCACATGTAGGCGTGCGCCCCCTAAAACTATATAACATCAAGTACTCCATCAACAGTCAAGTGGACTACTCGAAGCCGGAATATTCACGTGGGCTAAATAATTAAACACCGTAGTCTTAACGGCGCGACGTCATTTCGAGGATCTGTTCTCTCTCTTTTCTTCTTCTCAGATGTTGATATGGAGATTTTAGCTCTTATAGGCTCTTTCTCCGACTAGACATATGGTTATGATCGCTATGCGACCGAAGAGCCAGCCGTATCCGAACGGCCTATACGCGCGCGCGGGAAATGATGCCCTCCGGGAGGACTTTTATGGGGAACTGGCCTCCTATTTAGTCGTTATTGGCAAGGAGAAAACCCGGAAAACTCCAAGCAGCCAGCCTGTCGAGGATCTGTTAACACGCTACCTAAAATATAAAATGGTTCGAATTAGGGTTTCTCAAACGGGATTCCGGGATCCCGGGATCCCGGTTGTTTTTTTAACCCGGGAAATTTTTCTTATCCCGGGAAATCCCGCAAATTTCTTAAAAATTCGCTTTTTTTCTTATTTTGTGTCAAGGTTGAGGAATTTTGCAAATAGAAAGCATAATTAGCTCATTCACTGTCAGAATACATTTGTATTTATTAATTTTAAACCTACCTATTAGTTTTTTTAAATTTTTGCTCGTTATAGCATGTCACAAATGGTCAATAATCAATATATAGCTTATTTGTGGCATGACTATAAAAATTCTTTACTTGTCGGAACCTGTAATATCTGGAATAATTGTGCTTACGCTGTCTTGAGTTTTAACCATGCCCAGTA